ACAAGGTCTACTCAAATAATTTCAATGACCTCTCCATGTAATATGACATGGCCATCACTCACCATCATTCCTTGAATTATTCTGACGTTTAGCACTAACTTTCAAAGGTTTGTTTCCTATGCTAAACTTCTGTTTTAGCACTTCCTGGGCTATGTCACTGAAACACAAATCCAACTTTTAGATCCTGCTCAAGACCCACCATATTGCATTCTAAATCTATAAAAGTTGTAAAATAATCCTTTCCAACAGTTTACTACAACAAATCCGAGTATATTCTTAGTTTCTAGAGGATATCATATATCGGTGTTATCAGGTAAACATAGAGCAAAGAAATGAGCATTTAATATCTTATCTGATCTCTCTACTCTATGTAAAATACATCATATTTCAGACTCCACTATCAATAAGACCATTCAAAAGATATAAGCTCTGTGCTATATCAGGAAAGATTGACATACAATAAGTAAAAAGATATTAACAATAAGATAATGAAAACACAATGCACTAATCCAGCAAAAAAAGTCAATTAAACAAACTACAGTTTAAATTCATAAATTACAATGCTGTTAGAAGAAAAGAAAGAAGAAAGGAAAAAACAAAGAAAATAAGAAAAGAAAAGAAAAGAAAGCACAAAACACATACAAAGAAAAAGAAAAGGGAATAGAAAGAAAGAAAGAAAGAAAGAAAAAAAGTCACTTACACAGTATCAAACTCAATAAAGGTAAACCCTTGCTGGCAATTAACATTCCTCACTCTGTGCTTCCAAAAGGCCCCTAAGATAGTTTCAATTTGGGTGTTTGCATCATAACCTGGAAGGAAAATGAGCATTTTTCTATTAGGGAAAAAAATATTATGTAAAGGTTACCTGCTTAATTCATTATGCAAAATCATTTCATCAGAAAATCTAAAAACAGTTTTTTTCTGTTTTAAAGGATATAACACATGAAATTAAGGATTTTGCGGGGTTTTCCTTTAATTTTTCCTTCCTTTAGATTGCTTCTAAAACTAGATTTACATATGCTGTACCTAATTCCAAATAAACTTGCTTGCATTTTGTAGACAACCATACTACTCTTCCTCCAAGATCATTTTTATGTTAGTGTATCAATAATTTACTATGACCACTTTCAATGATATTTGTAAAAACACCTTCCTGAAGGTTCATAACAACAATGCAACACATAAGTAGTGTATGTCTTTAACAGTAATCATTAAATCAAACACATGGTCTAAGTGTAAAATGTTTACAAACACAATCAACCTGAAAGAAACTTGTCAGCTGAAAGGCAGTGAGAGAGAACCTCATCAAATTCATAGCTTACCTGAGACGTGAACTGTGCGGCGTGCCACATCATTAGCTGGGGGCTGGTTCCTGTTTTTGAGGTTCTTCTGGTGCCGTTTGCCCAGTATGTGAGTTATATACACAAGCTTGTCCAGTGGCCCCGTCTTGCAAAAGAAACAGGTCTGGCTTTCCTGTTTCGGCTTTTTGGTTACTTCTGCCATTTTGCATTTATTGCACCCTGGATATTCTACTCAGTAATGTTTCTAGATTGGCAAATGGATCAACTATATTCACTTTTATCAAACAGATGTCAGTTTCATTGCATATTTTTGAAAAAATTCTACACAGCTCCCAGTCTTAGACAACACACTAGAAAGACTATCTATTCTACTTCCACAAAACACCCATCCAACACAGAGATATCTCATTGTTGAATGGAGTCTGCTAAAATCAGTAATAAACTGTGCACAAAAAATTACTTTTGAGCGAGAAAAAAAGAAAGAAAAAAAAAAATCCTTTTTAGAAATTACAACATGAAAGATTCTTTTACTGTATAACACTTTCACTTTGTTGATTTCAGTCACTCATGGTTCATTTCTCTCAACTGATTCACAAAACACTTGGGAGTAATACCTGCTGTGTTCTTTAAAGGCGGTCTCCACCTGTGGAAATTGGAAACTTATAAGAACATGGCTTTCAAAGTTGTCTCATTTTCTTCCATTTTACATAAGTAAATTAGTGGGAAAGCTACAACTTCTTTTACTTAGTAGGGGAAATATTTGTCTAGTTACCTAATATAGTATCAATAAACATAACTACACAATGAGTACCTGTTCTCTTATCTATAGCTTTTGCAAAGTATTTTGGAGGCAAAAATCCCTCTTCATTCCCTGGACACAATATCACATTGTTTGCAGACTTGAAGAATTTAAAACCATCTGCAAGTAAATAAGAAATGCATATTTACAGTTAAAATGCACAACACAAATAACATATACAATATTATAAATAAAAGAGGAGTGTTTTTTTCATTCTTGGTCTTCCGCCTCCTTCCCCTTAAAACACTTCCACACCTACCCTCCAGTGCCTTGGGCAAATTGATCCAGATGTACAGCTGGCAGGATGAGCGCATGCCACTTATGACAGCCGAGTCTCCTGGTAAACCTGGGGCAAAATGAATATGGGTCCGGTTCATGCGACTCAGACCCTGCTCCCTGA